AGCGTAGTAGAATGTGTATAATATAGCAAGGGGCCTTTAAAAGCATTTATATTTGATTCTGCTTTGGGGTGTGTTACAACCCAATTTGGTGAATTTTAAAATGTTTATGATTTTTTTTTTTTGGAAATCTGAGTTAATTCTGCAGAGTAGTATTTGGATTCATTGGAAGATGTGGAGTATTTTGTGTTTGGTTGGAGAAATCAGTTTTGGTTATTATTGAAGAGTCGGTTCATTCCTTGCAGACAAATTTTCTTCTCTAGATGGAGAAAATTTTGGATGCTTTGTCCGTTACAGTGGAATTCATTTCAAGGTGAAGATTGTTAGATTTTGGGTATGATCCGAATTCCTTGTTGAAGTAATTGAAGAATTTTAATTGAATCGCATGTCAAGAGGAATTCAATTTGGAATACTATTGGAGTTTTATTTAATTGAAATTCTATTTGGAAGCCCTATTGAGAGTTGGAATTTGTATTGGACTTGAAGATCTTGAAATTATGGATCGGAAAGAAAAGTCACCGTATTTTTGCTGGCCTACTGCTAGCTGGCCGCTGAAGCAACACCTGCAGATTTTCTCCCAAGATCTGGTAGCTTGCCTGTCGTCTGCCTTATGCTCGAGCAACGGATCGTCGCTTGCCTGTCGCTAGCTTATCGCTCGAACGACAGGGTTATCTTGTCTAGACCCCTTTTTGAGTTTTAACACATTTTTGGTACTCTATTTCAACTACAACTCATCTATTAGATTTTTGGACGTCGCCCTACATAGTTGCCTATATATACTTGGCTCTTATCTACAATTTTATAGTGTAAGAATAGTGTGAGAAAAGTGATTACTAGTTTTTAGGATCATTGTAATATTTCTCTATCTTTATTATTTGTGGTGCAATAAAATCTCCTAATTCATTTGCCATATTTTCTTATCTTCTTTTATTCTTTTGCTTGTGATCGTATATTTGATTATTGTTCCATTTAACTTCAACATCTCAATCTGGTGATTAATCTCATATCAAGTGTTATTGAGCAATACGCTATCCTTGAATTTCTAACAATTGGTATAAGAGATTTTGGGCATAATTAACACAATAATAGAGAAAAAATTGCATATGCAATTGAAATGAACTGCTAGAATCATTTTGATCCAATGACCATATTTGAATTAGGCTGAACCATGTATGTCCATGCAGTAACTTTTTTCCTTTGGAATCATTATGCAGCCCACTTTCAACAAAACTAACCATATAAACCCTAAACCAAAAACCATATTTCCCTCTTATTTTCTAGCCTTCAAAATAGTTGTTTAGGGTTAGGAACTTTCTAGAATATGTTTCATACTGACTTCCACATTTTCTGATCTTCATCCCTGGTCGAAGTTAGTTCCGTCGTGTCTGCGCTAATTTTTCAAGCTGCAGCCTGGAAGAGGAACTTACCATTATTCAAATGGGGAAAATAATTGACGACCACCTCATGCAAGCTGCTTTCGTCCATCAACAACAGCATCTAAATATGGAGAAATATTACAATGATCCTAAACCTAGTCAAGAGAAAAAGACTAATTTTGAGTTGTAATTGATTTTTTTTATTACCAAAACTAACGTAATTAACTAAGATGCACGTTGAGAACTATAGAAAAGTTTCGAATATGAAAATGGCACTAGAATTTTGATATCACCTAAACTTTTCTATAGCTAATGTTCTTTTATGTTGACTATCCATGTCCTAAAATTATCTAACAATCTTTTGAGTGGATTTTGACCTATTTTGGCTTATGAACTCTCTACATCTTTATAAAAGTTACAATAAGTAAAAGTGCATTTAAAATAACCAAACGTCAATAAAAAACTTGCGTAGACTATGAAGCTATATTTAAATCAAAGAAGAGTAACACATAAAATAAGTTGAGTATCATCCTGCGAGAATGATGTAGCTAGTTAATAATTTAATACTTCAAACTCTAGCTAGAATAGTCAAATTTCAAGTTTGATTCTAATTTAACAAAAAACTATTAAATAAGAAAAAAGAAGAAAGGAAAGCTTTTTAAAAACATTTTGTGCAATCTTGGAGAAAATTCAATGTTATAAAAGTTAAAGGACTTCAATTCCACCTACATTTTTCCTCTTTGAGTCTTGAATTGATTATCAACGTTTGTTTGTTAACAGTCCTTCTTGAGTAAAGTTAAACTTAATTCAATATATGAACTTCCTATGGGGGCGAAAATGAACTCAATCAAAGTTCTTTTCCTTGCGGCTAATAAAATTTGGCGTCTTGATTAGCTTGATGGTAAAAATGAATTCTTTCATGGTAATCTAGAAGAGGAAGCGTATATAGAGTGGCCATCTGGATTTGTAGATACCTTTAGTAGTACAAATGTGCAAACTAAAGAAATCCTTGTATATATGTACTAAAACAATCACATAGAGCTTGATTCAAAAGATTTACTATAGCAGTCCATGTGTATCAGCATACACAAAGTCATCATTATCTACGTTGGTGATATATTGTAATCAAAAATGGTCTTGAAATAATAAGACTTAAGCGGGTGCTAAGAGTTAAAAATTATAGATTTGGGAATTGAAGTGGGAAGGTCTAGTAAAAGAATATTTTTCTCTCAAAGGAATTAAAGATCCTTTCAAAGAAATAGACATGTTAGATTGCAATCCAGAAGATACACCAATTAATAATAATCATAATTTAAGAGCCATTGCCAATAGTAATGTCGTTAATATACTTGTAAGTCAATATACTTGACATTGCATTTGATGTTAGTATGGTAGTCAATTTAATGCATTCTCCTAGTAAAGTTCACATGGAAGCTGTTTCGAAAATTATGTTGTACTTGAAACATACTCCGAGCAAAGGTCTACTCTTCTCAAAGAATCATTATTTTTAAGTTGAAGCTTATTTTTAACTATGTAAAGTTTAGCCTAACATAATTAAATTACAAAAAAAAAATATTATTGGAAGAGAAGCCATCACCTCGAATAAGAAATTTAAAGAACTTCAAATCTTGTCATTCCTACCTATTACTACTCCTTTGAGAAGTAACGAGGAGTCAACTGAGTCCATTAAAATTGGGCAAAGTCATTCATAGACTCCCTCCCAAATCTTCAATACTCCTTTGAGAAGTAACGGGGAGTCAACTGAGTCAATTAAAATTGGGCAGAATCATTCATAGACTCCCTCCCAAATCTTCAATTGTCACTTGAACGAATCGGCGCAAAACCTCCAATTCCAAAGGCTAGGTTTTTAATGTGTGTATTGATTTGTTTAATTCCCCCAGAAAGTCTAACCTAGTCCAAGCCAAAAGTTCAACTATAAATAGATAGAGTAGGATAGTGCATGAAATTTGTGTCCAAAAGATGACAAAAACATTCATAAGCGTTTCAAGGTAAACAAAAATGAGAGCCCTAGAACTAGATCATAAGTATATGAATGACAAATATTGAAATCATAAATGAAAAATATTGAAATTACATAAATGAAAAAATCACAATGGTGCAAATCATTCAACCTAATCATTTAATGACTACATAAATGAAAAATATTAAATACAATAGTAAGTACACAAGATCATAAGTATTTAAACATTAAATGACAAATATCGAAATTAATTAAACCAGGTTAAGGTTCTTCAATTATCCCAATATCAAAAAGCTAAACTCACTGTATAAAAGTGGTACAGAATGGAAAATTTAGTGAAATAAATTACGAAGTTGAGAAAATAAAGGATGAAATACAAGACAATAGGTAGAATCCGTCCCTTGGTTGGATTCTTGAAGATTGCAATGATTTGGTCTTGATTTTTCCCAAAATATTCTCACTTTTGCTTGGTTTACCTCCTATTCTTACCTATTTTCCCTCTTGAATGCTCTCTCTTTTGTGTGTAATGAATAATCGATAAATTGACTGAATTTAGGTCTTTTAAATTGCACCTAGGTAAGTCCCCAAAATACCCCATTTTATTCAAAATTTACAAAAATGAGAACAGAAAATTCTGCCCCCGAAGAGCCCATGCGCGGGAAGAAGAATTGGAAAGACATTATAGTGACCCAAGAAAGAATGTAAAGTTCCATTGCAATGACAAGTGCGAGTATAGTTTTGAGAAGTTGACACTCATATTTGTTGCATGCCCAATATAGGACTTGTTTCAAAAGGATCGGAGGACTTGTGTCATTTTCAGTGATACTTTCAAACAAGGTAGATAATGAATTTTTATGGAGCATGTTAAGATAATTTCTTATGATTCTTAAAAAAATTTAAATGTCCCAAGTTTACTAAACTAAAATAAGAAGTAATGAAAGAAATTAAATAACTACGAGTCCATCTGCATCACAAAGTATGCTGGTAGTCACAAAATTTTCTTTTGTTTTGGCTTGTCCCCGAGGATATCGTTTTCATTTATCCTTTTTGTTTCCATTTATTAATAATTAAAAATGGAGAAAATGTTTAAAACAAAGAAAATGGAGATAACTAATTAATTAGACAAGTCATCTCAATGAAATAAGTAAATTGTCTGAATTCTTCATAATCTCCAGACTCCAAATAACTAGTGCATATTTTAGTGATCGATTTTTTCAACAAGTTTTCTGCGATTTTCTTATTACAACATATCGCGAAAAGAAAAACTTGACAATATTCACACTCTAAAATGTTATATGGACTCAGAGATCTTCTGCTTCTTTCCTCCATTCAATACAATTTACAAGAAAACTTGATTAATAAATTAATTATAATAAAAAAAATAAAAGTAAAGGAAAATATGATCAAAGAAAGCAAGAAATGAACTCTTTCATTGTGAGCAGAAACATTTTTCGGATTCAATCAACAGAAACAAACATTATTCTATCAGCAAAGAAATATCAAGACTATTAGAATTCTATACTATACATCTTTGATTCTATCAGCAAAGAGACATTAATGCAGAAACAAAATTGGAATTCAATCAACATCATTCTATCAGCATGCAATTGTTCTGATTGTTGCTCCCATCGTGGCACCTAGTGCAGTTAATTAACACCACCTCTTCCCAAGAATCTCTTAAAAAGAATGGGCCTAGTGCAGATAAACAACACTATTTCTTCCCATCGTCCCATTATCACAATAGGAATCAATGGTCTAGAGAATGTAATGATTCCCAACTCTGAATCTCTTTCATTTCGCCTGGGTACGTAAAGGCTCTCAATGCAGTCGTTCCCAAATCGCCTAGTCATAAACCAAAAAAAAAAAAAAAATTTCCATGAGGAGGTTTATATGCACGTAACTGCAACAATTTTCTACACTTTGCACTAATCAAGGAATAAATAACGTACTCTGTAAAGTAGTTTTGAATTTCTTGCTGAGAGATTGGTGGGAAATCAGCGGAAAATTTCATGAACAAGGTTCTATCACGATCGATAGGGGTTGTTTCAAACCGAGGTACATTTGCTGGAGCTCTAAAGGGCTTGGCATCCGGGTTCAGTTTAGACCCGGACGATTCTCCTACACTATTCTTGCTTTTATCCATAGAAACAAGATTCGAAGAAATTTGTATAATCTTGAATTCTTCTTCGTTCTCGATGAGTGATTTTGAGACTGTTGTTTTTCTCTACACAGCAAGAAAAATCAATACACACTCTCTATATATAAACAATTCATTAGACTTAACTAAAACCCTAACTAACTTAACTAACTCAAGTCTTGATCTGCTGTAGTCGATTGCAGAAAGTTAAAACCTTTCTGTGATGCTTTTATGTATCTGAATTCTAAAGTTAACTTGAGAAGATTGTGAACCACTTACAGATTAACACAATGTGGAGCATTGGGTCTATCAATTTAGAGTTTACAGGTTTTGAGTGGAAACTATAAGGCGTTGTGTATATAATATTTTGCACTTCTTTGAAGCTATGCATTCCATATATATTGGACTTCCTAAAATGTGTATATATTTTTAATAAATATATTATTAATACATTTATCAAAAAAATATCTTGCAAAATATTATTGCTTGTGTTGTATAAATGTATTGCAAAAAATATTTATCAAAATATTATGCATTTATCAAACACTAACCAGGTGTTAATATTTATCAAGTAATATTAAAATGTAATATTAATACAGAATTTTCTATTGAGTATACAGACATATTATTGACAGATTTCAATATACAGACATTAGTGCCAGATTTCAATATTCCGGAAATATAGTGATAGTTTTGTCAGTCATCTAATTTTCTTGGATATTATAATGTGGTCATTACACCCAATCCTATGTTTCAAGATTCAACTTAAAAAATCAGGTAAAAAGTTTACTTATTCAAAAATCAAATATTTTTAATTAATTAATATATATGAAATAAAATATTTTTACTAATATAACAATTCAAAACTAATTCGTCTACCACACATCCCTAACCCTAATTCTCTCATCTCCCCATCCCTTTCTCTCTCTTTAACCCTCCTCTCCCATCTCGTTTCTCTCTCTATCCTTCATCTCCTCTTCTCTAATGAAAATACCACCAACGTCGTCGCTGCGGTGACGCCAACATCGCCGCCGCTGCTGTGGCGAACCCTCTTCCTCGCTTCTCAGTCTCCATTCTTCTCTCTCGTCAGTCGTCACGATTGTGAGCCGCATTGGGAGCTGCAATGTCACGATCGGAGCTGCAGCGACGATGCCCACAACTGGGAGCGTTACGCGCAGTGGAGCTTCTCTTCACTAGAGCCGCAAAGGATTTTAATCTGATTTTGCGCACGATACAGTGGTTGGTTTTTGCGCAAATCTGACTTGAATGGTGGTTGTGGCGGTGGTTGAAAATGATGGTGTGGATGGTGGCGATGGTGGAAGTGGTGACGACGGCAGTGAGGTCAGGTGCTGGCGGTTTTGTATCTGATTTTTTGGTAGCTCTGGCGGGTGGAGGTGGTGGCTGTGACGGTTTTTGGGCTTTTTTTTGTTTGTGTTTGTGGGTTTCAGATTAGAGACGGTGTTGGTGGGGGTGGCAGTGAGGTGATGATGGTTGTGGGGTGTTGGAAGTTTTGTATCTATTTTTTTGGTATATCTGGCAGTGGTCGTGGTGGTTTTTAGCTGCGGTGGAGGTGGGTGATGGTGGTGTATCTGGTGGTTGCGTGTGGTCACACCTGTTGACGGTGGTCATAAATTGGATTAGCTGTGACCGCATAATGGACTATTCGTGACCTTAAAATTCGACAAATTGTGATTAAAAATTAATGTATGACTTGTAATTTTTTGATCCGTGACCAATAAAATAATCTGTGACCTATAAAGTTATTGATTTGTGACATCGAAATAATCAGTGACCTCCAAAAATTTTGATATGTGATCGATAAACAAATTGTGACCTATAAAATTTTTGAACTGTGACCTCGAAATAATTCGTGACCTATAAAATTTTTGATTTGTGATCTCAAAAATAATCCGTGACCAATTAATTATGTACATGTGACCATTAATTGTATAATTAAATCATAATAAATTTTAATAAAAATCTGATTTTTGAAATTTCAATGTTGTTTTCTTAATTTTGAAATAGGGATACTTTTCCTCTTACTTATGAATTTTTCCCTATTTTAATATGGAAACCAAATAAAGTGTTTAATATTGGGCTAGGTGTTAAGATAACTCTCCCCAGAAAGTGCTATTTTTGTCAATGGGTTTAGAGACGGATTTCAATATACAGACATTGGAGCCAGATTTCAATATTCTGGAAATATAGTGATAGTTTTGTTATTCATCTAATTTTCTTGGATATTTTAGTTTGGAAACCAAGTCTTTAGCATTGGGCTAGGTGTTAACATAACTTATATAAAGTAATTCTACAAACTCATTTCCAATACATTTATCAAATTGTATTAATATTTATCAAGTAATATTAATACATTGACCAGGTGTTATGCATTCCTCGAGTTTACTAAGTTGACAAAATCCTGTTAAATTAAACACTAAAATTCTTATTAATGAAGGTAGCTTTCCTTCGAGTACAAATTGATGCTCGGATTCATTTTTATTTGTCCTTACATATTATTTTAAAATTACTAGTAATGTGAGCAATTATTTTCTTTCGGTTTTCTTAACAAATCTAAACACAACTACTTCCTTTGAGAGAGAGAGATATACCTTTTTAGAGACCGTTCCTTAATTTTTTTCTCAAACAAAAACATTTAATTAAGTGGGAAACAAATCACATTCCCATTTATTAATACAAGTACAGATAATTGAAAATCATTTCATACTTTTTTGATTAAATATGCATACACATGGCCAAATTGGCTTCCTACCATGCTGTTATATTTCGCTTCACTGCTTCGTCACTTCCAAATTATCAAATCTAGGAAGAAAAATGAAAAAAATTGATTAGATTGATTACAATGATTTTCATACAAAATTAAAGCAGATACCTTGATTCAGAAAATGGGAATATTGTCCAGAACACACGGCCTAAAAAATGGATTATATAAACCTCAATGAAATGAAACCATGCTTTTCTCTAGTGAGGATTTATGGACAGAACTGTAGCAATGCAAAGCACTACAAATAAATAAGATATGATGACGCTTATGTAGAAGAACTCCATGTCCACGAAAGCGAGCTCCTCACTTCCATTGTGAGCAGATGGCAAGATAGGTGTTGATCTGGTGCTAGCACAATCAGGTAATGGACGACCACAAAGATAAGAATTTCCCTGATAGCTACCTTCATCGAAAGTTCCAAACTAAGCTTTCTCTAGTATCATACCTATTAAATTGTTATGCGCTACACTGAAGACTTCCAAAACGTCTAACTTGATCAGACAAGTGGGGATCCTCCCACCTAAGTTGTTATAGGAGAGATCTAAGCTCTCGATCTGACGTAGGTTTGAGAATGTTTCTGGAATTGTTCCAATAAGGTAGTTGTGGGACAAGTTGAGTGCACGGATCTCACTTAAGTTTCCAAGGCCATCCGGAATTTCACCATCCAATTTATTAGAAGAGAGATCAATTCTTGACATGTAACTGAGGATGCTCCCTTTGTAAGAATAAAAATTTCTCTTTGTCATGAACGTAGCTGTAATTGGCTCATAAATAATATGAAATCTTCAATTTCGTAGGAAGACACGTGATGGGCCCTTTCTAACTCGACCTTATCCATGTAAGAATTGACTGTTTGAATTGAATATTCAAATAACGTTTTAGACTTCTCCCAATTTACGTCCAGCATTAAGTTACCAAAGCAGTGCGGGATTTGACCCGAAAGAAAATTAAAAGAAAGGTCTATCATGCTTAGTTTGCTCATCTCACAAAATTGGCGAGGGATTGTGCCTTCAAAATGGTTATCTCTGAGAAGAATAACGCTCAGGCTTGATAGATTGCCATGCTTAGTTTGTTCATCTCACAAAATTGGCGAGGGATTGTGCCTTCAAAATGGTTATCTCTGAGAAGAATAACGCTCAGGCTTGATAGATTGCCAATCCATTGAGGGATATTCCAATGAACTTATTCCATCTAAGATCCAATAACACCAAAGAAGAGCTATTATAAAATGCATATGTGAGCTCGCCCTCCAATTGGTTATTGTTCAGATAGACATGACATATCCGTGATGAATTGAAGCAAGATGGGACTGAACCACATAAATTGTTCCTAGATAAATCTAAGAGGCCAAGAAAATCAGGATTGCAAATTTCCTCCGGGATCGGACCTTCAAGCTGTTTGTTAGACAGAGAAATCTGTTTCAACGTTGTCATATTACCCACTAATGTAGGAATTCTGCTCGACAAACTGTTTTTACTAACGTCTAACACTACAAGAGGGATGGTAGACAAGCTCTTTGGAATGGTACCTCAGAACTTATTGCTATCCAGATATAAATAGGTCAAGTCCGGTAGGTTGATAGATCCTGAAAATATTTGTCCTTGCAATTTATTATCCGATAATTTGAGATAAAATAGAGAAAAGCATCCCATAACTAATTCCTGTGATATCGTGCCTGACAAGTTATTGTTGGACAAGTCTACATATACTATAGATTTTAAGTCACCGAAACTAGAAGTTGCCCAACCGTCAAACATATTTATTGACATTTTTAATGTGACCAGATAAAATGCAGATAAATTGAAGTATTGAAGAAGATTTTATTAGCTCAAATCAAGATGGAAATATAATTACATACAACTTCTAAAGAGAAGAGGACTACACATATTTAAACAAGAGAACAGAGACATACGATACATACATACACTGCTGGCTCTGCACAATAAAATTACAGTATACACACCATTAGAGAAATCCCTAAAATCATGGATTGTTAAAGGAGTGAGGTGAGAAGCCGTTGGAGACGCTGCAGAAGTGAGTTTCTCTTCCTTCAATTTCTGGTAAGTATAAAACGTTATTTCCAGCTGTAACGTTTTCCCTTTTACCATTAATTTCAGGTATTACGTTTTTCTCTTTACTTCTACAAATTGGTCCTTTAGCCCTTCTCTTCTGATCTAGTGTAATTAGGTCCTCAGATTTATCTTCTCTAACAGCCCCCTTCAAGCTGGAGATTACCTCTGTAACTCCAAGCTTGCTGCGTAGATATAGGTGTCTGAAATTCAACAACGGCTTAGTTAGGATATCGGCTATTTGATCTGCAGTAGGAACATAGCTAATTGTGAGTTGTTTAGCCAGTACTTTATCTCGAACGAAATGTACATCAAGCTCAATATGCTTGGTTCGTGCATGGTAGACTGGATTGGATGCAAGCGCACTTGCCACTAAGTTATCGCACCAGATTCTGGGAATTTCTGTTTGCGAGATACAGAGCTCATGAAGCAGGGATGGGAATATTGTCCAGAACACACGGCCTAAAAAATGGATTATATAAACCTCAATGAAATGAAACCATGCTTTTCTCTAGTGAGGATTTATGGACAGAACTGTAGCAATGCAAAGCACTACAGATAAATAAGATATGATGAAGCTTATATAGAAGAACTCCATGTCCATGAAAGCGAGCTCCTCACTTCCATTGTCAGCAGATGGCAAGACAGGTGTTGATCTGGTGCTAGCACAATCACGTAATGGACGACCACAAAGATAAGGATTTCCCTGATAGCTACCTTCATCGAAAGTTCCGAACTAAGCTTTCTCTAGTATCATACCTATTAAATTGTTATGCGCTACACTCAAGACTTCCAAAACATCTAACTTGATCAGACAAGTGAGGATCCTCCCACCTAAGTTGTTATAGGAGAGATCTAAGCTCTCGATCTGACATAGGTTTGAGAATGTTTCTAGAATTGTTCCAATAAGGTAGTTGTGGGAAGTCGAGTGCACAGATATCACTTAAGTTTCCAAGGCCGTCCGGAATTTCACCATCCAATTTATTAGAAGAGAGATCAATTCCTGACATGTTACTGTGGATGCTACCTTTGTAAGAATAAAAATTTCTCTTTGTCATGAATGTAGCTGTAATTGGCTGATAAATAAATATGAAATTTTCAATTTCGTAGGAAGACACGTGATAGGCCCTTTCTAACTCGACCTTATCCATATAAGACTTGACTGTTTGAATTGAATATTTGCATAACGTTTTAGACTTCTCCCAATTTACATCCAGCGTTAAGTTACCAAAGCAGTGCGGGATTTGACCCGAAAGAAAATTAAAAGAAAGGTCTATCATGCTTAGTTTGTTCATCTCACAAAATTGGCGAGGGATTGTGCCTTCAAAATGGTTATCTCTGAGAAGAATAACGCTCAGGCTTGATAGATTGCCAATCCATTGAGGGATATTCCAATGAACTTATTCCATCTAAGATCCAATGACACCAAAGAAGAGCTATTATAAAATGAATACGTGTCGCCCTCCAATTGGTTATTATTCAGATAGACATGACATATCCGTGATGGATTGAAGCAAGATCGGACTGAACCTCATAACTTGTTCTTAGATAAATCTAAGAGGCCAAGAAAATCGAGATTGCAAATTTCCTCCGGGATTGGACCCTCAAGCTGGTTGTTAGACAGAGAAATTTGTTTCAACGTTGTCATATTACCCACTAATGTAGGAATTCTGCCCGACAAACTATTTTTACTAACGTCTAACACTTCAAGAGGGATGGTAGACAAGCTCTTTGAAATGGTACCTCAGAACTTATTGCTATCCAGATATAAATAGGTCAAGTCCGGTAGGTTGATGGATCCTGAAAATATTTGTCCTTGCAATTTATTGTCCAATTATTTGAGATAAAATAGAGAAAAGCATCCCATAACTAATTCCTGTGATATCGTGCCTGACAAGTTATTGTTGGACAAGTCTACATATACTATAGATTTTAAGTCACTGAAACTAGAAGTTGCCCAACCGTCAAACTGAAGTTCGGACCAAGTCCATGGAACTTGTTATTAGATACCTCAAAAGTCTCCATGTTGGGATTGATGCTTGTTGGCAACTTGAGAGGTCCTCTAGTCCATGGAACTTGTTATTAGATACATCAAAAGTCTCCATGTTGGGATTGATGCTTGTTGGCAACTTGAGAGGTCCTCTAAAAGCATTATCCCTCAAATATAGTCCCCTAAGTCTTGTGTTGTTCTCTAACAACCAAGTTGGAAAATTCTGTCCTATGCTATTATTTGGGAGATGAAGAATTCCCAAATTGGATTGATAGTAAAGGAAGTTGGGTAGTGATGGATGACCTCTTGAATTTGGCATACTAAAAACCTCTAGTTGAA